TGTCTATCTGTCTGTCTGTCTATCTGTCTGTCTGTCTGTGTCTGTCTATCTATCTGTCTGTGTCTGTCTATCCGTCTGTGTCTGTCTGTCTATCTGTCTATCTATCTATCTATATGTCTGTCTGTCTATCTATCTTATCTATCTATCTCTGTCTGTCTGTCTGTCTGTCTATCTATCTATCTATCTATCTATCTATCTATCTATCTGTCTGTCTGTCTGTCTGTCTGTCTGTCTGTCTGTCTATCTGTCTGTCTGTCTGTCTGTGTCTGTCTATCTATCTATATGTCTGTCTGTCTGTCTATCTATCTATCTATCTATCTATCTATCTATCTATCTATCTGTCTGTCTGTCTGTCTGTCTTGAAGTTGTTTTGAAGTGTTTGACACTCTTTCTCATCACAGATGACGATGAATCAGAGAAGCAGCAGACGTCTGCTAAGAAGCGTCGCGTGGAAACGTTCCAGCAGAAGGAAAAGAGAAAGCGGGATATGGGACAGGCCACGTCAGATAAGAGCTTTGTGGAAGAGGAGAAGCGAATCCTGCGTCAGTGTATCGAGTGACGTGTGCGTTGAGATTTAACCCGCTCTGTTTGTGTTAATCCCTGAATCTTTAGTCTGGGACATTTAAAATTATTATTCCAGTATCACGTCCATGTAAAGAGGGTTTGTTTAAGTCACTTCCCTGCAGGTTGCTTTAACGATGTGTTTGTGTTTTGGACGTCATTGTAAGTATGATTTCAACTGTAAATTTGTAGCTTGTAAGGAACATTCTCCACTGGTTATGAGATTTCTTGTATATTTCCGATAATTTGTAGCTTGGATAAAATCCTTCTCTCTTGAGTCTCTGTTTGTATATCTCATATGTGTAAGTGTGTGTGTGTTTGTACTGATGTTTTACTGTCACTAGGTGGCGACACTGAATAAGATTTGATCCCAAGTGGCTTCGAAAGCTCATTGAAAACATGGAATTAAAACTGCATTTAGAAATGGAATTCAATGCAGAAATTTCATAAGTAACTATAGGTTATGCTCTCAAATATTTACTTTCCCAAAACCATATACATGGTAAAAGTGTTTTTTAGTTATATATGACCCTGCAGCACAAAAGCAGTCATAAGTAGCACAGGTGCAATAGCTAACAATACATTGTATGGGTCAAAATTATAGATTTTTCTTTTATGCCAAAAATCATTAGGATATTAAGTAAAGATCATGTTCCATGAAGATATTTTGTAAATGTCCTACCGTAAATATATCAAAACTTCATTTTTGATTAGTAATATGCATTGCTAAGAACTTCATTTGAACAACTTTAAAGATGATTTTCTCAATATTTAGATTTTTTTGCACCCTCAGATTCCAGATTTTCAAATAGTTGCATCCCAGCAAAATATTGTCCGATCCTAACAAACCATACATCAATGGGAAGCTTATTTATTCAACTTTCAGATAATCTCTATTTCCAAAATTTGACCCTTATGACTGTTTTTGTGCTCCAGGGTCGCATATACCATGTGAATATGATGGTCTTGCACCTGTGGTGTTTTTGATAAATGTAATGGTGTATGATAATTTAGAACATGCATTACCTTAGTAAATAAAGCCATAGTACTATTTAAGGGTCATGTGATGTTTGAAATGATTTTTTTTTTAATGTGTGAATGATTAAAGTCTCGGTCTTCTCATCATATCTTGTGTAATGTGTCTCGCTCCAGCTGTCAGTTCAGAAAAGCGTGTGTAATTTTTCTCCCGGGAGCATGAAGTGATCAGAGGGATTCCAGGGAATGCTGTCGTCTCCTGTGGACGTGAAACAAGTAAAAACGCAGATGATAAGATTCCAGCGTGCAGGTATGTATGTGCCCGGCCTCGTCTCAGAGCTCTGTGTGTGTTTCCTCACGCTTGAGTGAACATCAGGAGGTTCCTGCGGCGCGTCGAGATGCTGCAGGATTCTCAGGGTTTATAATGCGCTTCTTGTCCAGGACCTGAATTCAGCACAGAACTAGAAAAAATCATCTAGAACTTTTTTTTTATCGCTCGTTACTGATGACTAGTTATGCGATAATCTAATGTTAAGTATTAAAGTTTTAGTGTTTGTGCTCCTGAACGATTCATCAGTGTGTGATTATTTATTAATCTGTAGAAACCAAAAATCTGTTGTTGTTTTTTTTTTGTATATTTTAACTAGTTTTTATTTTGTTTCCTATTTTAATTTTAGATAGAGAAAAACATTTTAAGTTTCCGTAGACAAAAAAAAAAATTTATTTTACTTCTGGAAGAACTTCACTAGCCCTATATACTATACTATATATTTATTTATGTGTGTGTGTGTGTTCATATTTTTGAAAGACACGCACACATATATGATTATTAATATTTTGAATTAGTTTTTATTTTTAAATTGTCTGTTTTCATTTTAATATATTCATTTAACTTTCATTTCATTTTAATTAGTCGTTCATTTATTTGTTTTTATTAGTTTAGTTTTTTTAAATGTTTACTTTGTTCTTATTTTGTGTTTTAGATTTAGTTATTTTAGATATTGGTTCAGTTATTTTTGTTTATATTAAATTAATCTAAATGAAAATGAGAAATGAAAAAGCTGAAATAAAAATACAATAGTTTTTTGTTTTTAAAAAATATTACCATTTCAATTCAAGTTTTGTTGTTTAGTTTTATTTTGGTAAAATATGTTGAAATAAATGTTCTTTTACTGAAATATAAATGAAAACCATTTTTACCTAACATTTTTTTTTTTTTTTAATGTTAACTACAATTACCCAAACCCTAATATTTATCTCAGATTTTGCATATTTGTGCATTTATTTAAGCTTTTATTTATTTAATGCGTCTACACATTTATGTCTTTTGGGGGTTTTTTTCTCTTCTTGAGACTGGTAGAAACGACCTAGAACACCTTAGCAACTGCATAGCAACGCCCTAGTAACCATCCAGAGCACCCCTAGCAACGCCCTAGCAACCACACAGCTTTTTACCGTCGTAAACCCCGCTTACATGTTCTTCTGAAGATGTAAACATCGATTTATTCATTGAAGTGTCCTGCTCTGAACTTTCTAACATGTTTTCTAGCTGTTGTGTTTGTCGTGCCGCCGGTGAATTTGCTGAGCTCT